CCACGTATATATGTATCATAATTCACGCAAAACCCTAACCCTAAATTAGTTTGCTAGCCGCCACCTTATGCCATCGGATCCTCCAAGCCGCCACCTCCACCTTCTCCTCTCTCCGGCGCCATCACCATTTCACCTGCTCCGATCAACCGAGACCAGCGAACCCATTATCCATGACCTGAAAAGCTGAAGACCACCAGGGACCAGCAGGCGATCCGTCGTCGCTGTCGAGTTCCATTTCCCCCAGCCGCCGCTGCGCTGTCGCTGTTAGAGTCGGAGCTGCCGACGAGGACCGAGCGTCGTCTCTTCGCCGCTGCAGGACTGTTCCGAAGAGGTCAAGGCGGCCCCAACCGCTTCTTCTTCTACGCTGTTCAGCCCTTACCGATGCCCGCCGCCGCCCTTCTTTTCTTCTCCTTTCTGTCACCAACCCGAGCCGCCGGATGACGTGAGAGATCGGAGGAACCGCCATGAATAACGATGGGGATCGTGGCAGGGCGGTTGTTACGCTGTTGTTTCCATTTTCCCGTGTCGCCACCGTGAACCACTAGGTGGGTGGTGGTGTAACGGTTCCGGGGTATGTGTGTGATTACTGGTGTGCGAGTTGGTGCGGCCGGAGGCTGGAGAAAGACCCACCATGGCCGCCAGCCATGGTGGCTACCGCTAGCTGCCATGTTCCGTCGCCACCAGCCACCATGGAAGGTGGTTGTGTGTGTGTTTTGTATCAACAGGGTCTACGGCACCAAGGCCGGCCCTTTATGATTGCATCCTGGTTTTAGGATGTTGTTATGCTATGTAATCTGTTAGATACGTATGATTATCTGTATATATGTTAGTGACCTGGTTAGGTCGACATCCTGGTTATAGGATGTTGATATGCTATGTGATCTGTTAGATCCGTATGATTATTTGTACATATGTTAGTGACCTGGTTAGGTCAATATCCTGGGCATAGGATGATGCTATATTAGTGACTGGTTAGGTCGGTATCCTGGTTATAAGATGTTGCTATGCTATTTGATCTGTTAAATCGATTGACTGTTATATATGCTAGCGTATGACATGTATGTGCACATGTTTGTTTGATTGGGGGTGGGTTGAGGCGGTCCTGCTTTGTGCTGAAGGCCAACATACCCAGGGCGGTCCGGATAGACTACAGACCCAGGAGGGTATGATAGTCAGACCGAAGGCCCGGCGAGCGGTCCGGATAGGCTGAAGGCCCTACGAGGCGGTCCAGACGTGCCGAAGGCTCGGAGAGCAGTCCAGATAGACTGAAGGCCTGCGAGGCGGTCCAGTCAGGCTGAAGGCTCATTATGCATGTTATTTTGTATTTGTTGATATTATATGAGTATGGTTATATGAGGTTGGTATTTTGGGGGAAACTCACTAAGCTTCGGGCTTACAGTTGTTGGTTTTGTTTCAGGTATTTCTGATGATTGCGGGAAGGCGAAGGCGTGATCGTGCACCTCCTCATATTTTCATGATTGATTCTAAGGATACTCTGATGCTTAAACTATTTTGAAAACAAATTGTAATAACTTAATGGTTTTAAATGTTTTAAAAAAAAGTTTTAAATTGGCTTAAATTTTATGGGTGTTACAGATTTATCACCTTCATTCACAGTTTTAAGATCTTATTTCTCGAATATTTTATTTCAAACGTTTTAGTAACTTCTACAAGTTCAAACATACTTTATTTACTTAATACATGAATAACAAAATACTAAATCGAAAAAATAATCGCTGATAGTCGTAAAATCGAGTGTTATTAAACAGAAAACATTCAATAATTTGTTTGACATCGAAAACTAGTGTTTTTGTACACAAAAACTTTTGAATAAATGGAGATTCGTGTATATTGATCTAATAAACAGTAGAAAAACTCGATATAGTTGTAAAATCGAGTGTTATCAAAACAGAAAACCTTCAATAACTTGATCGACATAAAAAACTAGGGGTTTCGTTCAAAAAAAAACTTTATAATAATACAAATTTAGTGTTTATTGACCAAAATTATAGTAGAAAACTCGATAATCATGAAAATCGAGTGATATTGATGAAAAACACATCAGTGTGAGTTTTGATACCTTTAGATGAAGGTTTTGACGGCGATTTTGTTGTTTTCAACGACATTTCAAGTGTTTTTGTGATTGATTCAACGAAAATCGATGAAAATGTTTGCGTTTTTGTTGAAAGTCTGTTGAAATGTGAGAGAGAAATGAGGGTTTTGGGTTGAGAGAAATGAGGGTTTTGGGTTGAGAGAAAGAGGATTTTTAATTTTGGTTATCGAGGAGACGTGATGTATGCACACGATTTAGCAGTTGCAGGATTGGTTTTGATATTTATGATTCTACCTTCGTCATTTTTTAAATGTTGGATGTTTGCATCGAATCTTTAAACTAATTACAAAAATGTCACCTTGTAAATTTAAAAGTGATTTTTGTTCTCAATTGTTCTCGATTGAACGGCCCTCTCTCTCTCTCTCTCTCTCTCTCTCTCTCTCTCTCTCTCTCTCTCTCTCTCTCTATATATATATATATATATATATATATATATATATATATATATATATATATAATTGAAAGTTGAAAATTTTGAAATCAACATTAATATATTTTGAATCTAAGGGCTTGATTTCATCATGAACAAATATATGTTTTGTATGCATGTATCCATATGCAAATACAAAAGAAGCTCCATAAAATATTGATAAAACATGTTGTTTTATAGTGATGTATGTAATGAATCATTAATATACTTGTTCAGTTGAAAACAAAGCAAGTAACTAAAAAGTATAATAAAAACATGAGATTTTACCTGAAAAGAAATCCAGTCAAGACTTCAGTCCAAAATAATTCCGAGAATACCTATTCCAATTCCAATAATGACAATAATCGACACTTCGACAGGAGATCTCATTTTGTCTACTCTATGAAAAGTAAACAGATCTGCACAAATAGAAGAGCTCTCCCCACTCCATGGCATAATTTATATGTGTTATGCCTATTCAAACACTTATTCAAACACTTCAAAAGTATGCGGGTATAAATATAATGATCTGAAAAGAAACAACTTCATGGGTACTTGTTGTCAACAACATGTGTATTATGGAAGCAATATTGCAGTCAGAGTTTGCTGGAAAAAATAGAAGCAATTTGGGTAAATGAAGCTACACAATGGTTGGGTTCTTTAAAGAGATTGAAATGAAAAATCGAAAATGGGGATGTACTCTGGGTAAATGAAGATAAATAAATGGTGGGATTTGCAAGATATGAAAAATAGAGGCTTTAATCAACTTGTTTTCCTTCTTTATTTTGAAGTGTCTTTCTTTTTCTTATAGAGATTGTTGTGTGTAGTCCAGTAACAAAGAGGGCGTGTTAACTTTATAGTTGAATAGTACATACATGCCTTTCTTTATGAAATCAATTTTATTGGTGGATGTGTTCTAAGCAGCAACCAATTGTCAGAGATGAGTCCTTTCTTTTGAACTTATTTCAATTTATATTTTGGACTTTGGATTTGTATACCTGTTAATTTTTTTAGTAAACTTTTTATGTAGCCTAAAGTAATGTTCTCTCTTGAAATGTATATGTGGATGTTTTCTAATTTCTTTCACTTTAAATCCACAACACGTTCTTGTATCTTATAAATATTTATTTATATTTTGATCTTAGGATTAAAGAAGCATTTCATTACATATATGTATTACACAATAGATTACCAAAGACCACGGATGCTAGAAGTAACAATTTACAACAATTTCACCCGTTTTAATTATTATTTTTTCTAGAAAAATATACGAAATTCAAACCATTTTACACTTTGTTTTTCCGCCTAGTTGTTTAAATAAGGTGTTGTTAAGATGAATAAATGTTTACAAAATATTTAAGAAAATAATAACAGATGGGAAATGTAACGAAAACATAAATAAGATATTTTTAATAATAAAAAAAAAAATAGTACCTAATTAGAAAAGTCCAGTTTTCTTACCTGTTTCCGTTAATCATGTCTTTTTTATTAACAACTTAATTAAAAAAAATAAAGAAAAACAAACACACACACAACTAACAATAAGCTAGCAAAAAAACAATTACAGAGTCATAAATAAAAGGGTTTTGCAACCATCAAGTCTAAGTTATTCTATTTTTAATAAATTTATTCGAAAACTAGTTAATAAAGATATTTTCAAACATACGAGTGTTCCTCATAGTGTGTGTCTGAAAAACCATATATCAAGAAATAAGAAAACACTTTATGTACAATTTATCAAAATAGATAACAAAGTTTATTATTTTCACCTCAAAATATGCACACTAAGTCGCTATGTAGACCCCTTACATTATTCTCAAATATATGTACAAAAGAGTATCATATTATATTATTATTTATTTCGGGAGATATTTTGACCCTTTAAAACTAGATTTGTCATTTATATTATCTCCACTCTAAAAAAAACACACAGAGAGAAAACACAAATGATGGTTTTAGCATGATTTTTTTCATTCGGATCACATGCTAAAGATATCATATCAAAAAGAATATTTATTCAATATTAAGTTTTTAAATTTAATTTTGAAAAATTCCTTAATAAATGACTTTTGCTAAGTATTTGCTTTTTATATCACAAAGAAAATGTTCTTTTACCAAACAATTTCACAAATCATTTTCCTTTTTTTGCAAATTTATGCATATTTTACCAAAAGGTTTATATTCCAACGGTATCAGGTGTGGTATAAAATTTTCCTTTACGAGAGACTGAAGGTTCAAATCTCGTTGTGAACAAATGAATAGATTTAAAAGTAGGATTAATGTGTATTAGCTAAGGGCGATCTTGTAGTGACTTAATATTATGTAACCTCCTAACTTGGTCATTGTAGTTATTAATCTTTTCTAATATCCTATTCAATATAGTAATCATTTGAAAGCTCTTGATTACATTTTTACAACAATATATTTTGTGTAAATTAACTTTTATACTTTATGTTAAATATGTAACAATATATGTATTTATAAAACAAAGTTTAGTATTAAAGCTTCTCCATCGTATCTCAATTCCCTTGTAACTGAATATTGCAATGCCACCTCACTACCAACCTAGCAAAATGCCATATGAAACCACGTCAACATAAACTATAAATTTATCTTCTTGCTTATCTATTACATTTTAATTATTTCATTTATTAATTAAATAAGTTTATTACTATATAAGTATGTTATATATTATAATTTATTTAGATTATATTTATTAATATATTTTAACAAACTTCTACATTATTAAACAAATCAATAGATAAATAGGGAGGGGGGATTCTTTTTTTTTTTTTTTTTTCGTTTCACATTTCCCATGGCATGAATAATAAGAAAATTCTCATTGCAAAAAGCTGATATGTCATAATTAAAATATATATATATATATATATATATATATATATATATATATATATATATATATATATATATATATATATATATATATATATCACTTGAAAACATTAATATTCATCAAACTTTGGTAAAAGTGATTTCTAATATAACTTTAAATAATTCTTTTCACTATTAATCTAACCATATATCATCATAATAATAATACAAGGTTACACCATTTGGTTGCCAAACACCCAAAGCCTTTTTTTAATGCTCTAAGTATGTTTAAAAACAACTCTTATTACCAAAACAACTAATGTAATATCATCTACTTTCCATATTTCCTTTTTTTTTTAATCAATTAAACCTTGCTATAAAACTAGTTCTAAAATGTTAAATAATAATGAAGGTTTTAATATGTTATGGTAGATTTGGACCCCATAAATCGGTAGCACTCACCTCTGGGTTTGGCCCAAACCAATAATCATCCTCAATCTGCAACCAACAACCCACATGGTATCAGAATCACAAATATTCAGATAATCTTTTTTATAAGAAAATGACAAGGGCATTTATGTCTTTTGCACATATAAGAGATCGAGAATGAGTCCTCCCATCTTTTTTTGATGGGCAAAAAAAATCATATTTTTGTCCCACTGACATAAGTCTCAATCTCAATCAAATGCAGTACAACCTGTTCAGCTGTTCTGTCGTAGACAAACTTTCTAGGGCTATTTTTTTTATAAGGAAGAGGGCATTTTCGTCATTTGCATTGTCCACCTTTTTAGGTGGGACAAAAAATTACAATTTTTGTCCCAACTTTTTCTAGGGCTATTTTGTACAACTTGTTTTCTCTTACACAAACTTTCTAAGGCTATTTTTGATGAGGATGATGAGGGTATTTACGTCTTTTACACAGACAAGAGACTGATAGCAAGTCCTTGTCCCACCTTTTTCAAGTGAGACAAAAACTTGCAACTTTTGTCCCATTGACATCAGTCTCATTCCCAGTTTAACTTAATCTTTTCTGTTATGTTATGTCATGTCATGTCATGTCATGTCATGCCATGTGATGTGTAAGAAACTTACATCATTTTGTGGTGGGATTATCTTTTGAATTCCATATGAAGGGGAGTCAACCGAGTTGACTTTGACTGAATCTAAATGTGTTTGTAAATCTCTACTATTTTTGCTGATGTGGCTCCCACCTTCTTGAGTAGATTCTTTAAATGATTCACTAAAACAAAACATACATGTTGCAATGAACACGAGAAATAGAATATAAAAAGATACAACAAAAACTATAAATTGAACTCATCTTTATATATTAAAATTTCTTTTTTACTTAATCTGGACATAATGAATTAATGTGTTTTAAATAGTATCATTAATGAGAAAGAAAGTACCTTATGAGATACAGATCAATGGGAGCTGTATGACTTCTGATAATAAGTTTAAATTGCTTTTGAGAGAAACCATAATCCTGCACATTCAACATTTTTTTTTTATATATCTTAATAAAGTCATTATGAATAAAATAAAAAGATAAATGAAAGTAATAGCATTGTAGTAATTTCTGATTTTTCTTATTAGGACATTGTGCTTTGAAAAATCTACTGATTTAAAGTAAAATTTTGTAAAAGAAAGTATGATAGGATAATAAAAAATAAATAAATGAAAGTACATTGCTATTTCTTGCATTTAACACTAAAAAAAATATTTAAAAATAAAATAAAATAAAAAAATTCATGTTTCATTTACAATACTCACCTGATCAGGATCAGGAACTTCAATAGAACTACCATGTGGTGCTCTTACTGCTATTAAAGTCTCATTCTGTCAAAAATAAATAAAAATAAATAAATAATCAAAGAACAGGATTTAATATAAAATTATGGGAATAAAATTAAAAAAATATGAAATCTTTGAAACCAGTCAAACCTCAAAACATGGAAGATTCCTAAAATCTTCTCCTCTTAAGTAAAGATGTCTGAAAGAATCAGTGATATCATATCAGAGTTATTAACTTTTTTTAAAATAATTTATTGGACAAATTATGAAAATGTAAATACAAAAGAAAAAAGGGAAAATACAGAAAAGCACTTGTACTTTCACAATTAGATCTATTTAGCCACTTAACTATTTTCTATAGTGACTAAACTATTATTTTTTGCCTGAAAAAGACCTTGAATTTTTTTCATTTTTTTTCCAATTTGGCCCTTTTAGTCATTTTTTTTTCCAAAAATAATGTAAAATGTGAGGGTTTTTTCGAGAAAAACTTAAAAAGTTGAGGGTTTATTTGAAAGCATTTAGAAGGTTGAGGGGTTTTTTTGGAAAAAAAAAAATACAAAGTTGAGGGATTTTTCGGAAAAAACGAAAAAATACAAGGTCTTTTTCAGGAAAAAAAAATAAAGTTGAGGTTTCGTCTGGAAAAAAACACAAAATATAAGATCTTTTTTGATATTAACCCAATAAAGTATACGTGGCTAAATCAATAAAATGGTGAAAGTACATTGTGCTTTTGTATTTTTTTCATTCTTTCAAGGATATTAAAAACTTAAATCAGTCAAATTTTTTATAATATATATATATATATATATATATATATATATATATATATATATATATATATAGTATCATAAGAGTTATTATATGTGAAAAAACAACATACTTTCGAGTATTATGATCAAATTCCATAGAGTTGAGGCGTTGTTGTGTTTCCCTTATACACTCATCAAGTCTTGATTCTTCAGCATTTAGATGTTGAAGCTCAGCCTGTCATAGAAAGGAATGGAATCACTCATCCCATTGGAATCACAAAATTAACTTTTTGTTTTGTCTCATGGAGTGGAATGGACAATTCCTTCCATTTTGTTACTTTTGATCCCTTAAACACATTGGAATGAATGAATGATTACAATTTAAAATATAACACGTTTTATTAAATATAATTTTTTAACAACACAAATTCTTTATAAAAATTTTCACAATTATTATACATATTAAAAACCGATTGGCTTAGGAAATAGGAATAGTATAGTTTTTGTGTTTCACACTTTTGCCACAAGAGTTTCTTATTTCAGATTTTGACCACAAGACTTTTTTATTTCCGATTTTGGCCACAAGATTTTCTATGTTGGCATGTTTTGTCCCTAGACTTTCATAATGTTGGCATGTTACAGTTTACACACCCTACTTTGTACAATGGCACTTTCTACCCCTCTACTTTGTAAAATATCACTTTCACCCCCTCAAATTTGGACAACAACATTTTCTACCCAGTTACCTTTAGTATATTGGCAGATTTCCAAGTTTGTAAAATATGATTTTTTTTTCCACCTTTTGTAATTAAATTACAATTTTATTTTCCAAGGTTAAACTAGAAAATATATTTTTTCTATTATAATCATATTTGGGTTTTACTGAACTATTATTATGTTTCCTTTTTTATTTTCATAAATAAAAAAAATCATAAATTATAATTAAACAATATATAGAGTAGAGTTATTCCATTCTATCCAATCAAACAAATCCTTACATTTTGCATGAAGTCTTTCATTTCTTTTCTTTTTTTCTTTTCTTAGTGCACAAACCTTATAAAAATAATAAATACACACACCTGTTACAAAAAAATGATTTATTTTATACATACCTTTAATCTTTTAACATGTTTATCCAAATTTTGTGGTGATAAAGTCTTACTTTTCCTGTAAATAATAAGTCCATGTGTTAGAAAATGAAAATATATGCACAAAATTTATAATATAAAAAGAATGAACTTACTTCCAACGTATGTGATTCTTTGAAGCCTTTTCTACTAATCCTATCCCTTCAAGAACATTTGTAATATCATAAATTCTCCTCTTTTGGACCTACCAAATAAGTAAAAACTATATATAATATCCATGATTAAGTGAACATATATGCAATAATGTTTCACCTTTTGTCAATTTTTATGCAACAAAGTGGTTTTTATATTAAATATGCAATAAAGTTTCATTTTAGGACCAAATAAATAAATAAATAAACACAAAGTACTTTCACTTTTTTATTGATTGAGCCACTAAACTATTACTTATCTATGATAATTATTATAATAATAGTTCAGTGGCTAAACTGATAACAAATAATAGCTTAGTGGCTAAATCAATAAAAGGACAATGGTTTAAAACTTTAAATGTTTAATCACTACAAAAAAAACAATAAAATGATGAAAACATTTATAAATAAGTCTTTATAAACCATTAATGAAGGACAATGTATATCAGATCATACTTCCAATATAACTGCAGCTTTGTTTAGATCAAGAATTCCATCCTTGTCAGCATGTATCAAATTAACAAACTTCTTTGTGAGGAGTCCTGTTAACAATTTAATAAACTTTTTCATTAAAAAAAAAAACTGGAAATCATAACATGCATATTTAAGGATGTTTGGTTTGCAGAATATGAATGAAATTCAATTTCGTGTATAGTTAATTTTTAGAATCTTTATATACAAGGGTATTTTGGTCTTTTAACAAAAAGGGAAGGAATGAAAACTCTGTAAGGGATGGTGATTCCGATGTAACTGAATTTTTTCCATTTGGAAACCAAACGTCATATAACGGAATCTTGAATTCCAATTCTGAAAGATTATATTTTTATCTATATATGTAGGGGTATTTTGGTCTTTTAACAAATAAGAGAAGGAATGGGATTGAAGTCCTTCCAAACTTGAAAGATATTGTGAATTCCATGAATGATGGAATTAGAAGGATTCGGGTGGAATTAAATTTTGTCCAATTAACAACAAAACACATCATGGAATGGAATCTTGAATTCCAATTCCAATTCCAATTAAAATACTGATTCGAGTAAGCTTACCAAGAGAACTATCATAACGACAAGCAGCAACTAGATTTTCTCCAGAATCTGTAATAAAAAGAGAGTTTAATCAATTTTCAAAATAAAATTACAAAAAAAACAATATTTACAAATGAAAAAAAAAAAAAGATGTATTTGTATTACCAGCATTTGGTTCTTGATTTCCAGGCTTAAAAGCCTTTAATTTCTTGTTTCTCTTGACAACACCACAAGGCAATGATCCAAATGAAGGACAATCTACTTCTTCAGGAATTGTATTTGTATTAATTGCTTCACTTTTGATGGTTTGTTTTGGCTGTTTTATAAGATAGAAAAAAAAATGAAATTACCATATGGATTTGACTTCTTGATGTAGTTGATATTTCATGATGATTATGATTATGATGATGATGATGATGATGATAACATTAATGATATTGAATATTATAATTGTGTAAATAATTTACTAAAAATAACAACACAATGAAGTAAAAAGCATAAACGAGGCCTAATTTGGTATAACATGACATCTAATAGTTTGCTTATATAGATTTGTTACATATTATCTTGATGTTTGTATCCATAATTTTGATCTTTGTTTTAATATAGAATTTGCTATTTCTGATGATGAGGATGAAAAGGGCATTGATGTCTTTTGTACAAACAAGAGAACAAGAGCGAGTTCATATCCCACAGTTTTGGGTGAGGCAAAATTACAATTTTGTCCCCACCAAAACACAAGAAAACTAATTACAAGACTATCTTATTTGTCATGTGTAACAAACGCATCCTAAATGACCAATGGGGATAAACCCAACAACAAAATAAAACCCTAATTGTAATAAGTTTACTTCTTAGATTAATAGTTGTAGCTTTATTAGGTTCATCAATGAGAGATAGACACTTCAAGAGGAATGAATGTTCATATGAGGACTCACGCTTTGACCTTGAGTCAAACATATATCAAAGCGGCATCTTTCTACAATGAACGCAACTAAAAGTACTTAATCCGAACATTATGTTGAAAACATGAAACCCAAATAAATATGAAAGCGAAAAAACTGTAAACAAGTTAACTCATTGGTCAAATAAGCAATCCGAAAAACACTCAATGTGTAAAACTTAGATTCTACGAAATAAACAGCAATTAATCAGACAAAGCAACGAAAAAACTTCAAATTAGTATGCGAATAAAGGGGAGAAAGTGAGGGACAATGAATTAACTTACTGAAATCAAGAACATGGGCAAATTTTGAGTAGCAATAGGAGGATTGCAAAAAGAAATTTGTTGGTGCGTGTGTTGTATTCTGGATAGAGGGTTTTGAACTGACAAGTTGACGTCATCAGCACCGGCAGCAACCGACATTGACATCGCCACCACCACCACCACCACCGCCGGAGCTGACTGGTGTTTGATTCTTGTTGTCTGTTGGCGTTGAAATATAATATAGAAAAAGGACAGGAGTAGAAACAAATAGGGTGGACGTGGTGGTGATGTGTTGGTGAAACAGCGGGAAGGTTTAAGGCAGGCGGGACTTTGGAGTTCGAATGCGTAGAGGAAGAAAACCCACCAACGCTACGCTCCACTTCTGCTCTTCTGCTGTTTTTCCAAAGTTAGGCCTGGCCCAATTAGATGGTGTATAATGTCATGATTCATGTTTGGATTTTTTTTTAAAATTGGATAAGGATAAGAATAAATTTACATGTTTTTATTAAATTATATATAATTTTGTAACTTTTTTGTTATCTTTTTTCGATAATATGTATAATTTTCAAATGATATATTGTTAAGTTATATAATAGCTTTGATTTCTATTAATCTTTATAGTTATATTTTAATTTATTATGAGATTTATCAATTTATGTTTGCATAAATTTGTACATAATTTATTTTGTTACATAAATTACTAAAAAGTTGATGAAAATACGTTAAATAAATTGTTAAGATCAACTTCGTTGTATAAACAAATAGTTATCATTTTTTTATGAAAGAGTTATTCACTAAAATGATCATAATAGGTGGTGATATATCGTCATAGAACCAATTTGTTTCGGATTTTAACAAAGTAACATAGAAATCACAAATGCATGCTCGCGGATATGCGGGTATACTTTTCTGACATAAGCAAAATACTGCAACATTGGTCTCTGTAGTATTCAAAAAAATTTAGATAGGGTCCAAAAAGTTTCTAACTTACATGGAATATCCAAAATCAAAACATTTTTGTGATTTTGGTCCAAAAAAACTTGAAAATACGATTATGTCCTTTTTATTTCCTTTTCCGTATTTCTTAAATCTATATTAATACATTTACAATATATATATATATATATATATAGATATATATATATATATATATATATATATATATATATATATATATAACATCCTCTAACCGTAACCCCTCCCCCCATCCCCCACCAACATTTATTGATACCTCTGCAAAATGATGAATGCCATCGATTGTTATCCATTTAACCCTAATTTCGATTTTGTTTTCTATTTTGCAGATGGATGTCGATTTCCAATCGATAGGCTGTTAGATCAAATTTCTTGCTCATTATCAAACCATTGTTTACAAATCTTGTGGAATCTATAAAACCCAAGGATGAATTTTTCTTGGTAGACCGTATTTCCAATCGATCGACTGGTATACAAGTTTTGAAGAGGAGTCTTGATTTCTAATCTTCGATTTTGTTGATGGTTTTCAGTTTACGATGAGGATGGGGAAATTTTAATGATGTAGTTGGCCGGTGGAGAGGGACGAAGAAGATGATGCAGGTCCATGGTGAAGATGTAGTACAAAGGAGATGCACTCGATGATGAAGAGGGATGATAGAGGAGAAGCAATCGACGGTGAAGTTGATGTTGTGAAATTGAAGGTGAGAGATTAAAATAAGGGGTAGGGTACTAGTGAGGGTAGGGTGGTTGCCTGATTTTTTTTTTAATTTTAAATAAGACTTTTATTAAAATAAATATAAAAAAATTAAAAGGGTAAAATGGTCATTTCAAGTCTTCCAGGGACCAAAACCAAAGGAAATTCCTAATTTTGGACCTTCCATGCAAGTCAAAAACTTTTTGGACCATATCAAAAGTTTTTTAAATACCACAGGGACCAATTTTGTAGTTTCGTCTACATTTAAGTCATTTGTGAGGGAAGCTTTTAAATCATTTGTGTATATTTGCTTCTTTACAATACAATGGTTAGGAATGATGTGGTATAGGAAACTCGTTATCTGTTTGCAAGCCATGGTTGTTATTAAGGTGGGAGGTGACATAAAATGTACTAAAGGGCCATTATGATTCTACGAGATAGCCACACAATACTCTAATTATCAATCAATAATTGTTTAAAAGTAGTTCATATATTTCATAAAGCTTGGAAATCTAATTTCAATATACTTGCGTCTTCTTCTAGTGTTTCAACTACTTCAATGGGACTCAATCAACTTCATACATGTGGTGTTGAGTCGTATACCATGCACGTATATCATCGTTTTCCTTATTTCAACCCTAATCTTATGAGGACTATGAGAAGGTATTGAAAATTTTTTCCGATGTTGCAAAAATAAGATGTTGATTTCTCATTTTTCCATATTGTTTTGCAAGTCATTTGTATGGTTTACCCTTATATATCCGACCACATGCTTAATATCACAATATTTGCTCATGTTGTTAGACAACTCGTTTTTAATGTCATCTATGTAGACATCTCGACAAAATAGACTCTTCCACATCTTCTTGTTAAATTCATTAATGTTTTTTGTAATATTATGGGTTGTACTTTATAAGTTTTAATATTATCATTTAGTACTTTTAAGAAACATATCGTGGTTTGGTACTTTTAAGAAACATTATCGTTTGTTAAATTCAAAAAATTCCTGTCATTTGCATATTAGGTTGATTTTTACATATATCATCCCATATAAATAGATAACTTTATTTCAATTACTTCTCTTTATGTATTGTATCATCTTTATTTTCCTATATAATTGAATTGATAATGAATCCACAAAATGGTACTACTATTATAGTAATTCTTTGTAGCACAGGGGTGTGGGCGAATGTTAAATGTCGTTTTGGAGTAAATGTCAGCGAATGTTAAATATAATTTTACTTTCAATTTGCATATGGGTATTGAGCAACGAAGTCTGAGACCAAAATTCAATATAATATAACCTATTATGGGTTGATTAATTTTATGGCCAGAAAATTACGTGTATTGAATAATAACATAGGTTATCATATAAATATATGTCGATTAGCATTGTTGCATGCGTTTATGATGATGACAAGGTAAACTGATATTTGTTATGTGTATCCATATACAACCATGTTGTATGTTGTCAAGGGATTCAAAATGTGACTACTTGAAATTAATCCTAGAGGTGTATATATGTCATGTGTTTGGCATAGTATTAACCTTACTCTTAGTTATATGACAGTTTCTTGGGTTAAAGGTTTTTTTTTTTTGTGTTGTGCAACACATATATACATTATATTCTAGTTCTACTAAAGGATGGAAAATGTTATAGATAATGTTCCAATTTTAACTGTATTATCCAATAGTTGTTGAAAAAGTAGGATTAAAAGTGTCAAAGTTATTAAAGTTCAAGCTCCAATACGATGACCCAAAATCAAAAAGTGAAACTAAAAGTTCTAGTACTCACATAGTTAGTGCTACTGAGAGTTTTGAGGTTTTACTTGGAATGATTATCTGGCATGAAGTTTTATTTGTTATTTGTCATGATGCCACTATTAACCATCAATTACAAAATATAATGACTATTTCTAAGAATTTTAGAAATGAAGGGTGTGCTTCGAGTATAAATATCGCTAAAGTTATTGCATTTGATGTGGACGTTGAGCCTAAACTTACATTAAGACGTCGTGTTATTAGAAAAAAAAAACAATTTGATGAAACTAATCATGAACAAGAAATACAATCACACGAAGAGTATTTTAAGGTTCTATTACTTTTGTGTTGTTGTGGATACGTCAATTGATTGTATAATATTTTCAACTAGTTTTTCTAATGACATTGTATATGATGTAGATTCAAATGATTTGTTTTCTAAAGTAAAAGTGTTGTACATGATTTTGCCTAATCATATAGAGTATGCAATTAAAATTTTGGAATTTGTTAAAAGAATTTATTGTTATCCGAATGTTTTTATTCCATATTGAATATCTTTAGACATAAGTTTTTCAAAGTTGAAGTTACTCAAGAATTATTTACGTCGATGTCACAAGAAATGTTAAACAATTTGGTATTTTTTTATATAGAGAAATATATGTTGTATAGGATTGATCTTGATAACATTATTAATGATTTTACATCTTAAAAAGCTAGAAGAAGTGTTTTTTTTCTTTAGATTAATGAATGTTTATAGGTCATATTTATTTCCTTAATACTACTATTAATAAAAAAAATTGTGTCTAAGAAGTTTGTTAAAGTAACTTTCTTTAGGTTATTGGATTATTATAACAAGGTTGGCGATATTTGTAATTTTAATGAGTTTTTTCTTTCCTCTCATCTCAGACTAAAATGTATTTGGAACGGTCTTGCTACTAAACCATAAATTAAGAGCAACAATGGTTGCAATGGAAACGTCTTTAAAAATAAATAGTTTTCATCAACCCAAATAAAATAGAATTATTAAACGAAAAAAAAAAACACCCACACAAGCACACCCTTTCGCAAACTCTTGACATTTTCAAAATCTTTTTCTAATAATTCATTTACAAAAGTTCGTTCTAGTGCTTATTACTATGTAAGTCATTCTCTCCACTACAAATCACCATTTTGTAAAGACTTAATTGAGATATTACAAAAGTCTTCCTATAACACCCTCCATTAGGGGCGTGCTAAGATGGTTTTTGTCATAGTGGGAATATATCTCTTTTTAGGTTGCTGAGGTTATTTTGACCAAATAATGTTGTCTGGTAAAATAACTTTTGTTTGATAAACTAGTTGAGAGCTAATAAAATAAAACATTTAGTGAAAGATTATTGATAAGATAAATGATAACTATTAAATGAGACATTTAAATATATGATTAAAATAACATGCAAGGGTATTTCAAATAGATTTTGTTTTGAAAAAAAAAAAGGAAAACAAAAAAGCCCAATCATCATGGATTCAAACAAACAAGATTACTACAAAAAAAATATCGAGTATTCAAAAAAGATCGATAATAATTGATTACTTATAACAAAACAACGTTAAAAAATCAATACAGAGTATCTACATAACACATGAACAAAATTTGAAATTTCCACCTCAAAGTGACCAAAATCTTTAACAGAAACAGATAATAAAAACCTACAAAGAAATCTACTAATATCCAAGTTTATGAGAGAATGAATGAATGCCCACTTTATACTATAACATTCAAAATTGGGACTTTCATCATGACAAAAAAATAAAAGTTTTACAAAAGAAAAATCAACTTATGGAAGAGTAAGGTGTTGACTTATTGGGTTGTTGTTGTTGACTTTTCATTGCATATTTTAGTGCCACTTAATATGTATCCACCACAAGCACTCATTTGCATGTGTGGATGAGTTCTTGAAGGAAGAACCTACATCATAATAATACCCACAAACAAAAATTATTAACTTTCATATGTTTTTTAGAGTAAATTACACGAATGGTCCCTATGGTTTGGGGTAATTTGCGCGTTTGGTCCCTAACTTATTTTTTAACTCGGAAGGTTCCTACTGTTTGTTTTTGTTATGCGTTTGGTCCCTGTCTTACCTAAAAAGACTATTTTACCCTTGATTTTTTAATTTATTTAAATAAAACACACCCCCAACCCCACCCCTACCTCACCTTATCTTACCTAAAAAGACTATTTTAATTTATTTAAATAAGAGCATAATAGTCCTTTTAGGTGATACAGGAACCAAGCGTGTAACAAAAACAAATAGTAGAGACCTTCCGAGTTAAAAAAATAAGTTAGGGACCAAATGCGCAAATTACCCCAAACCATAGGGACCATTTGTGTAATTTACTCTTTTTTTATAATAAAGTGTTGGAAAATTAAATAATTTACAAATATTTGCTTATTAAACAATTAGAAGTAGAAAAAAAAAACCTGATATTCACGTAGCCAAGGTTCTGTAATCTGTAAGCCAATTGCCATTTTCTCAACCTGAAGATTATGCATGCATGTTGCCAATGGCTACAGTTGAACACAACTTCCATTAATGTCTGATTTTAAGAAAGCTAGAAAATTATATCACATTAAAAAAAATTAATAAAAAAAGATTCAAATAAGAAATGACCTGAAGATACTGATGGTAAATGACAAAAGGAGCTGAAAAAGATAAAAATGGTAAAACCTCCTTCACAATACTCCAAGCATCCACATCTGGAGCAGCTATTATTAAGCTGCAACATATCAAATAATAACAAATTATTATTATTTCATAACATCTTTTTTTCATGCATTTATTCTACTACAAGAGAAGGCATGGGGACAAGCTTTCTAGGACTATTTTTAATAATTAGTATGAAATGGGCAATTTATGTCTTTTGCACAAACAAGAGATAAGGCGCGAGTCCATGTCCCACTTTTATAGGTAGGCAAAAAAACATGGGTGACAAATGACAGGTGACAGATGACATGTGACAAATGAGAAGTGAAGTGACAAATGACAGGTGACAAGTGACAAATGACAGGTGATAGATGACAAATGACAAATGAGAAGTGAAGTGACAAATGACAGGTGACAAGTCATAGATGATAGGTGACAAATGAGAAGTGAAGTGACAAGTGACAGATGACAAATGACAAGTAAAGTGACAAATGACAAATGACAGGTGACAGATGAGAAGTGATAGATGACAAATGACAAATGAGAAGTGAAGTGATAAATGACAGGTGACAAGTGATAGATGACAGGTGACATATGATAGGTGACAAATGAGAATGAAGTGACAAGTGACAGATGACAAATGAGAAGTAAAGTGACAAATGACCGGTGACAAGTGACAGATGACAAGTGATAGATGACAAATGACAAATGAGAAGTGAAGTGACAAATAATAGGTGACAAGTGATAGATGACAAATGAGAAGTGAAGTGACAAATAACAAGTGATAGATGACAGGTGACAAGTGATAGATGACAGGTGACAAGTGATAGATAACAGGTGACAAGTGATAGATGACAGGTGACAAGTGGCAGGTCTATCTTGAGTAACAAACATGACATAAGCAAATTGATGTGAACCTTGAAAATCCATTTTCTTTCCATGATTTGATAGCATCTTGAGGAGCTTTTTCTCCAGGTTTTACAGCTTTATATACTTTTGAGGCAACTGACTCTTCCATGCTACCCACCTCCAAACTTAAAGATTCCAACACAACATCAGACTGATTGGATGATGGATTATCAACATTACTATCATTTGCAGATTGAAGCATCATCTCATCTTCCTTCCAATCTCCATTATTAGAAAGTTCATCAAGAGACAACCTCACAATCCTAAAACCAAAAAAAAAAGATTGATTGATTACTTTTTATATACTTTTCAATATAATAAACCTCTCCATCGAAAATCAAAAAGGGTGTGTATGGTTTGTCATTTGTGGGGTTGGATCGTCGGAATTGGAATTTGGGATTCCATTCCATGGTGTGGACAGAATTCAATTCCATTGGAATACTTCAAAGTCTATGTTTGATGGATTTGAAAATTCCAATTCCTTTTGACAAATTCCATTCTTTCCAAAAACATCTTACAAAACATTGAGTGATTTGTTCACAGATTATTGATTTGATGGAATTGGAATTGGAAGGTGATGTGATGTACCTTTTGTTAATTTCATCATTAAAGTTGAATATTCTGACAATCTCAATGGAATATGGAGAATCTCCACGATAAGTATTGCACACATAACCAGTACCTGTTAAATCCACATCATTATTTAAAGTTTAAACAACCAAAAACAAACATTATTTATCTTCAAAAAAGTTTAGTAGCATAAAAAATAGGAATAAGGGTAAATGGGTCATTTTCTTTCTGCATTAAATAAAAAAGAAACACATGTATAATGTATATAGCTTATAGCTTACCAGATTAAGTCATCCATATTAAGTCTATTAAATCAAAAATTCTACAACACTTTTCTCCCTTTAAATAAGCACATGTTATTTAGAGTAAATTATAACAAAAGTTGGAAATAAAAAAGAATAATAATAGTTATACTTTATAAAATAACATAAAATCATACCTCCTAAACGCTCTGCAACAGCACCAGTAATTAAACCACCAATCATATCCACAACAAGAACATCAGAGTGTGCAGAAACATTAGCAAATGAGAGAAGAAGAGATAATGTGTCAACTCTCAAGAACCTGAGATTGATTCAGATATGCATAATTGATTAATCGATTCCAAAACAAGAGATTGATGATTATTTAATTAAGTCACTGAAGAAAGATGATATTATAATTATTTACCCGATTCTTGCTGGATACTTTTTGAAGTAAGTGTCACATATACTGAAAGAGATAAGATAAGAAAAAAGTCAACATGGGAAGATAATATGATTTAGGGTTATATGCAAGAAATAGCAATGATAATTTTGACTTTGTGTATTATAGTTTTATTTCCAATTACCTTCGTGCAAAGGGGCGTCTCAAGAGTACTTTAGGAGCATACTTTTTTTGTTTCTTAAGCCTGTATTTTTCCTGCAGAGGGTAAAATCGTAAAAGTTCAGTATGCAATCTACACATGTAAGCATAGTTGTAATTTGTATAGAAGAATACGCACTTGTGAAAAAGACGTTTTATTCTCAAATGTTGCACTGTTGGCAATAAGAGCTTCAACTATAGCATTCCCACTTGCACCCTGTCTGGATTAAAGCTATATATAAGTCATACTTATCAAGAAAAGAAAGCAATTTACAAAATTCATCCCTTTAGTTTATCACTTTTTATGGATATGGTCCAAGAGGGCAAAAGAGTCATTTTAAAAGAACTTGAAAGTGAGAGAACAAGTTCTAACCTTCGCATTCCTTCTATATCTTCACCAGTAAGTGTTTGGGCTGTATTATTATCGATCAATGCACGATTGTCTCTTGACTCTTCTTTTATGTCACATTCTTTCTTGTCTTCAGCATTATTATCTGATAGAAAAGAAAAGAAAAAAGGGAAAATCAATGTAATTGGTGGAATATATCAAGTTTCATGCTTATGGATCTATGTGATGTAAAAAAGTAAACAATGAATAAATATAAACAAAAGAAAGTAAACAAACCTGCTGCAGTTGAAATAATACGAGCCAATGAAGGACCATTTGCTCCATTCTCTACTTGAAATAAAGAACCAAATGGACACCCAATCAATGGCCGAAGAGGGTAATTCTTATTCCCAATTTTCACAATCCTACAACAATCATCAATTCTATCATCAAAAGCACATAGAAAAAGCTGAAACAATCTCTCCATTCACAAAGATTGGTCAAATCTCATCCTCAATCTTCACTATCTTAAGCAAAATAGCACATATAAAATGCTACTCTTCAATCAAAGCAATCATCATCAAAACGCATATTATGCAAAACTGAAACGATGTCATCATTCTGAAAGAAGAGCGAATTTACGAAAATTTCCTAACTTGTAAGGAAATTTCGTAATCCACTATATTTACTACACAAATATTAGATAATTCGATATTGATGTTAATTTGACAGCAATATCCATATCGAATTCCTAAACAAAGATAGCAGGTTCGAAATCAAAAATCAAAATGTAGGGTTGTTTGGAACCGATTGAGTAATGACTTACGATCCAGCAGTGAGACGAGAGAAAACGAGGCGATCACCATCGTTGATATCAAGCAAAACGCTGCAACCTTCCCAAGTTATTCTTCGGTTTTGATTTGAGTTGTCTTCTTGTTCAACTGCTGACATCTCTATTAAATGAAAAATATTCCAAATTTATTGGGTACAGATCTCGATTCCGAGTTATTCAAATCGATGACACTCTACTCTTCGTTAGACTTTGACGTAGATAAACCCTAATTAGGGTTTTGACGCAACCGTTAGAAACTATCGTTGTCAATCGTAAACTATATCCAACGACAGACAACAAGATCTATGCTACAAAAGGTAAACTTATAAAAAAATTTATGCTAAATAACAATGTGCGTTTGAATTTTTTATATATAATAATTATATTTTAACTAGTTTTACCTTTTTTTATTGTATTAAATGATCAAATCAACTTTTTAATGCATGTATCTTAGCAAATATAAAAATATTGATATTTGTATTGTGATTTTACATGTTTTTAATGCATGTATCTTAGCAAATATAAAAATATTGATACTAGTATTGTGATTTTACATATAAAAATATGTACTTTAAAAACTTAAAATATATTGTCATGATTTACATTTAATACCTAGCATTGGCGTCTATAGATAATTATAGTTCCATATTGTAATACAAAATAATTATTGATTTTATATTTATATTTTCAAGATCACTCTAACTTGTTAAAAAAATATGAATTTATAGATTCAATATAATTTTTTCTTGAGGGTCCGAAAAGGCAGTAACTCTAACTGTCCTAAGGTAGCGAAATTCCTTGTCGCATAAGTAGCGACCTGCACGAATGGTGTAACAAAGCCAGTGGAACCATGGTGAAATCCGTCTTTCTTGATCCTAGTGTTGTAAGACAGGTAAATGTCACGTCAGAAATCAAGGTTGTTGATGTAGTTCGTTGTACTTCGTGACTTTATCTTAAACTTAAACACTTATTTTTAAGAATAAATTATATATATATATATATATATATATATATATATATATATATATATATATATATATATATATATAGGATATAGATCCGGTAAAAAGGAAATTTTTGGTAGGAATGTAACAAGTTTTTTTTCTATATATTTTTTTGACGAACAAAATAAATGAATCACTAGATGATTCATTTGTAAGATGATTCACAAGAAAAAATTCCCAAAAAAACATCTTTATGATTCATTTTTAAGTAAATTAAGAAAAAAATCACTTTTATGACAATTTTAGTGAATAACAACAAAATCATTGTATAAATGAATCATCGAGATGTTTTTTGAGAATTTTTTCTTGTGAATCATCTTCCAAATGAATCATCTAATGATTCATTTTGTTGTTCGCGAAAAAAATATGTAGAAAAAAAACTTCTTACCTTCCTCCCAAAATTTTCTTCTTATTTGATCTTAACTCTCTCTCTCTCTCTCTCTCTATATATATATATATATATATATATATATATATATATATATATATATATATATATATATATATCAAAACTAACAAATTTTACACCTATATTATTTTTGAACTATGTGCATTAGGCCAGAGGAAATGGTGTCATACTTCTCATGGCCACCTAAGCTCCCCATAAACTTCATTTTGATTTACCATGACAAAGGAAAAAGGTGGGAGTGGTATCATTAACATGACATGACAAAAGAAATAGAGGGGATGAATATGAGAAAAAATGGGTAAATTTTGAAAATTAATTTTCTCTCTCCTCTACAAGTCAGTGTAATAGGAGGCTTTTGACATTAAGAGGAAGAGATGGCATCCTAGAAGGAAATGAGAGGATAGATTGAGACTTGACATTAATAAACTTGCTTACTAAGGACGTGACCTCATGTAGGGCAGCTTGGAAGTGAAACATTAGTGTTGATGGATAGCCTCTTCACCTTACATGTCTTTGCTTTTTATCTTTATTTGTTGATGACGGTTTCCTAAACTTATGTTACTTATCTGATTATTCATGTATTGTTACATTGTTCTCTATCATTGGAGTTTCCTCTTTCGCATGTTCTCAGATCGATATGCATTTTTAGAAAGTACTCATGTTTATGTCTTATTGTATATTATGACTTAGTTTTCCTTTGCTTTCCTTTTCTACATGTTTTTGTTGTGTACATGTCGAAGGTTATCTTAGAGACGCAATCGATCTTCCGTCTTGGAAGACCTGGCTATTGACTTATACCTACTCATATCCCATTATAATGGAATTTTTGGGATCTGTGTTGTTGTTGTTGTTGTTTTTGTTTTTATCCATTTAGGAGTTAGAAGATGAGAGACCAGACGTTTTTCTTTTTTCCTCACTAAGTGTTGTTTCAATAAAAAAATGGTATTTAGATAAAATGTTACCTGAATAATTTTTGTATAAAGAATCACATACTTAGAAATGTGTGTGTGGATGGGTGGGTATGGGGGGAGGGGGTAAGGTAGGGATTTATTTGTAAAAAGTTATAATTTATGTGTATATTTATAGACTTATTCTATTAAGTAGTTCTCTATGCATAAATCGATCTTTTTGCTACAAAAGGATGTACTTGTCTTTTGTTGTATGAACAGTCTAATGATAAGTAAGGTAGATCAAGAAAGAAGGTCCACCGAAATCGCAATGCAAGTTCAATATTTACACATATAAAATCTATGCTTCACATTGAAATCAATATCTTGTTAAAAATGTCATTTTCACAAATATATCAAGGGTGTAGATGCATTTTTGGATGAAAATCGTTTGCATTCACCAAAATATAAGCCAAAATGCATGGTACTTCCAAACAACTCAATTATACATCTTACATCAAAGTGGAATCATGTATCATGATTGTCAAGTCAAAGGGAAGCCAGTAGTAGAAAGATACGAAGATATGTTGATGTATGGTTGAATAAAACATAAATAATATTATGCCAACCAATAGTTAGTAATATTTATCTATTAAACCTAATAAGCCCAAGGCTTTTACGTATTTGATATATAGTGTGAACTATTGACTTTTGATACCCATCCGAATATTGGATTAGACCCAATAAGCCCAACGCTTTTACTTCTTTTTTTGTGTGTAAAAAGAAACGAATTAAAAAAATAGATAAAAAGGTTTATCCATTAAAATCCAATGTTGTCTCTTACCAAAAGGCAAAGGCAACCTTCATAACCCATTTTTATCTATGATGTTTTTAGCAAAACATATCTTCTATCAAATCTTACAAATTTAATTAAATTACACCTTTAGAATAACTAAAAATATACTTTTTATTATAACTTTATTTGGATTATTATGAGCTTTTATCAAGTTTAATTGCTTTTTTTTTTGTAAATAAGAAAAATCACAACTTAATACTCAAATATGCATTGTACAAACTACAAGGTTACAACTACAGAATATATTTACATATAATATACAAAAACTTATTGAAAAAAACCAAACATACTCTAAATCTCATAATAAATACAAAAATTTGGAATTAATTATATGAAATGATTAAAACTTATACGGATTTCAACAAGCATTAAAAAGCTATTGTACTATATATATACAAGAAGACATAAACCCAAAAGAATAAAGCAAAAAAACATGGGCAAAAAGGTAAATTCACATACCATTTTGGGTAAAGAACTAAATATATATATAAAGGCCAAAAAAGAAACCCAAACGGAAAGGTGGTTTGTGTTGTATTCGTGTGTGTTTGTATGTGTAGACACGAAAAAGATGGGCAAAAAGGTAAATTCACATACTTTTAACTACTTTTCACAGTACTAATAGTAATAGACCTTGCATTCTTTCAAAACTGATGATCCCAACAAGTGCACCTGTATCATCAAATATGAATATTTTCAATTTTTATTAAAGGGCTAAATGCAAGAAATAACATTTTTTTTTTGCATATTTAAAAAAAAAAAAAAAGGGTAGCAATGTATAAGAGAACCTACCTTACTCAATGTGCTTTCAAAGATTCTCCACTTAATTCTCTTCTAACCAGCTCCAAGATTTCAATAACCTGAATTAGAATGGAGGGGTAATATTGTCATTTGCTTCTTTTTTTGTTGTATTGCTTTGAATTTGGGTTAAATGCACATTTATGCAACAAAGTTGTTTTTATACAAAATATCAACACAAGTTTGATATTAAGACAAAAAAAAATGCAATAATTTAATTGTTATCAGTTGCATATATTGGTAAAATTGTGAAACATTTTGAGGTAAATTGGTAAAAGAAGCAAACACATTATTGCATAAACTGGTAAAATGATGAAACATTGCATATTTCTATTTTTTTTAAAAAGCCACTTTATTGTATAAATTGGGGAGAATGTAAAATTTTGATGCATAAATATGCATTTAACCTTTTAAAATTCTATTTTTCAGTAACAAATATTTTTATACGGATGATACTGAAAATATAATAAAGTAGAAAAATAGGGATGATAATGATATTATCCTTAAATAAATAATTACAGTTTTACCCCTGAGTAATGTTGCAAGACTGGAGAGTAATGATCAAGAGCTATATATATCTTCTCAAGAAGCCCTAAAAGGGTTTCAACTTCATCTCCCAAAAGATCAACCTGAATCCAAAAAAAAATTAAACTTATTTCATTTTGAAATTTAATAAAGTTTTATTTAATGTAAGTCTTTTTAGCAAAAAAAAAAATTAAAGTGATCAAGAAAATTTGTTTGACTATATATTAAATATATATAAAATACATTTCAAACAAACATGAGATATGTTTATATGTAACCTGTTTAATGGTGTAACTGTATTGTAATTTGATTTGAAGTTTACTTTTTATAAAATAATATTTTTTGTATTTGTTTATCAATTTGATAATGGAATGCAATCACTCATTCCATTCCATTCCTTTGTGAGTTTATTCCATCATACCAAACATGCCATCAATCTTAATATGGAAAATAATCAGTTTATTTCCATATAAAATAAAATAACACAAAATAAACTTATTTGCCAATACCACTATTCTTACCAAAAATAACCCTATAATATCAAACTAATGAATAAAGATTATAACAATCTTGTGAAGGTAATATTTAATAGCAAGAAAAAGAAACTGCTATTTGTTTCAAGAACATAAAATCATTTAAAAAAAAGAGCATCCAAGAATTACTTACCTCATCTTCAGCCATTTGAAGATCATTACATTTTGTTTCAAACTTCTGTTTGTATAAAATCCCCGTTTTTTTAAGTACACTAACTTCCTTGATGAAAGAATTTAATTCAGATCTTGATTTTTCCAACCTAAACATTTAAAAAAAAGGAAATTGA